TTTATTTTATCCACATACTTTTTAAATATTCTGTGCCGCCGCTTCATGCATTTCAACATCCCTGTCAATTTTATAATTGCTATTCCAACGTTTCTCTTTTTAGTACATTAAATCTTTACTCTAATGTAATCACTAATAGCTGCTTTTTTCACCTTTAAACTTTACTTTTACCATATTCACTAAGGGAATGTTATATACATTTAATATACTTTAGCGTAGATATAAAGCCGGAATTCGTGACAAGCATCAACACGTGTATAACGGGCTATGGTATAATGATAACTGATGCGCCTGCTCCGCTGCTTGTAATATTGAACAATACTACCTAAATTTGTTATAACTCGCACTAAATTAAATTTTGCACTATTCAAAATTGTATCAATTGTGATCTAACTGTATAGGACAAGAATCATCACGCTTAGTTCTCTCTCTCTCTGAAGGTTAATACATCATATATATATATATATATATATAATCTCCAGGTAGTCTCGAAAACCGTCTTATAGACCAAAAAGGAGTAGTGTAGTTGGTTTCTGTGGCAAAAACAACTATGTTTCATGAACATTCCCACCACAAAATGTGATATGTGAAAAGACCATGACCTTCCTAGAAAATTTACACCTGCCCTGTGATCCAAGGGCACTCGTAGAAATGTGGCGTAGTGGTTAAATAGTCGAGATTATGCATTGAACAGCAATGCTTGGAGTCCAACTGGTGGGTCCTGACGAGATCGAAACTGCAGTACACACTGTAGGCCTTCTCAGCTCTAGGAAGCACTATAATCAGATGGCTTTGGGGTCTACACACTGAATTTACTTAAATAAATTTATAATAAGCCAAAGAGACGCAATGTATACTCTCTAATACAATGAAATTTGTCTTCAGAACTCGGGACTATAAAAATGAGCTCTTTTTCATACAACTATAAAAAAATTCAAGATCGGAAAGGATATGGATATGGCACATTAGGAAGCTGGCTTGAAGCTACGAACTGTTCAGATATCTACCGAACGAATGATGGTAATTTTCCGATAGCATAATGTCAGCCGAGCCTCTCAAATTTTGTAAACCAATTGAAAATTCTGAAAAATCGTTATACCAGCTAAATAAATAAAGTCCAGTCATTTTCACTATTAACTGGTGTAAATTTAGATCGAAAGAACTTAATTTGAGAGAAAATTCTACCTAATAAGTCTTTAGTAGTATATTCGAGCGCGATGACAAATATCAGTTTGCCTTGTTCAGAAGCGTCCCACCTACATGTGGAAATTGGTTGAGTTCATGCTCTCCTTTAAATTTACATCTTATCACTGATACATTAGCAATGAAATTTTGCTGTCGAGAGAGAATGTGTAGTAACTTGACCCGCACGAAACGATTTCTAATCCCTTTGACAAATAGATGAGACACTGCAGGCCATTTTTTAAAGCAAGTATAAGAATAATTAAATAAATTTCTAAGTTTTTTTATACTTTGGCTTTGAATCGCCAACATGGCTTATTTAATCTTTAAATCTTATAAAGATCTAGTGATGGTTTCAATCATTACCGAATTATGGATTGTTGCTCGTTGAATACGTTTATCATTCCAGTCTGGTGTAGTTTGGTACATGGATGTTATCTCTGACTCGAAATGTATAAGGCTTCTATTTCAAATCCCTCATGCAATACAGCAATCGGCTTTGCTAATCTAACCTCCAGATTAACCACTTTTCCGAGAATCAATTCTGATTATTATTATAAAATTAGGTAGAAACCAATAAATAGCTAGCATCACGACCCTGACGTCATTCATTCACCTATATAAAAGATTATGTGAACTAGAGGCCTAAAATGTTTACAAAATCAGGACAGCTTGTGGTATGTTCTATTGCTGCTCACTTATGCTATCTACATTCAACCAGACCCATCTAACATCAAATACTTTGGCACGAATTTTCTTATTTTAAATTATTTACAAAGTAAGTACATTACATTCAAATTAAAGTAATATCAGAATATAATGTATAATTATTATATTATAGGTTGGATAAGTATACACAGATCAAGAAAAATTTATAAGTGCATTCTGGCACTGCCAATCGAAATTATTTTACTCTTCTGTGAAATGCTGTTAAGTATGCCAAAAGGATTTGAAAATTAGGAAGCCTTTAGCTTCAAGGCTTTAAAGAGTGAAACAAGTATTTGTTAATTTCTCATGAAGCCATGTATTTAGAGCCTCCAGCTTAGCATACCTTTCAAACTAATTAGTCAGTCTGCCCCAAATCTGCCTAATCGTTGCTTCGAAAGGCCCTGGTGATTAAGTATCTACACGGGGGTTCCTGTAGGAACGAACCTCTTCCAAGGACTACAGAGTTGTCTAAATCTTGCTAATGGTATGTTGGAAATAACACGAGGTTTTGGACTTAAATCAACCCCGAATAAGTGCTGGACATGTGCAAAGAGATACTTCGCCTGGCGATGTGAATGGATTGAGTGTCGTCAATAATTTAGAGTT